CTGAGGTTTTTCGCGGATAGCGGGAAAACCGCGGCGCGTAGCGCCGCGAAATTTGGTATGACTATTCTCTCATCAATTTTACACATGGTGTGCAAGTTTGAACCTCCTAACTTTTAAGGTCAGGTCACCAGGTCACTTTGAATGACCCAACCTCAAGTCACTTTTTTGCAACTTTGTCACCGTGCCAGAGCTACAGTAGATGTCGGAGGCCTTTGAAAGTCGCAGGATGTTATTAGGTCATTAGTAGCTACAATTTGTATATCTCGGAATTTTGATGTCGGTGACCTAAGGTCAGGTCAATTTCGCGACCTCCCCATTATAAGTCAATGGGGGAAAAATCAACTCCCTGTTTTTACCACTAAAACTGGTCGGAATGGCCCCATATACCATACATGACTTCACATACGATCAACCTTCACTACCTTGAGGTCTGTTTTGCTGTTGGGCAGCTGTAAGGTCATGTGACGTCATCAAAGGTCACCAAAGGTTTTTTGCCAATAACTCCTTACAGGAACAAGATACAGCCGCGCGGATGGTCTCATTGTGTTCAGCTCGTCAAGACGCATCGAATGATATACATGATGACCTCGAGGTCACGTGACCTGAGGTCAACCTTTGACCTTGACCTTTCGAGGTCAACATATATATCATTCGATGCGGATCGACGAGAGGATCACGATGATGCCCTTAGTTTGTTCCTATCTTGACTACTTCGAAAGTTATTCGAGAAAAACCCTCTCCATATCTAGCGCCGCCATTTTGACTTTTTCGACCCCTGTGACGTCATCTTTGACCTGACCTGAAAATGACCTTTGTAAAAATTGTAGACCTTGTCCGTGCGTATCCGATGCCGTTTACCGCTTGTCGCTATCTTGCTTCGTTCTCGAGATCTCAGGGGGGGCGGTCATCCGCCCCCCCCCCCGTCGGTACTAAGTTGGCGCAGACCCCCGTCGGTGCGCGGGTTAATATTGTGTTAATATTATATTAATACTATGTTCATATTTATAGTCATCGTGGTTATCTTTTGTGTTTTTCATTATTGGGCTGCGCGGTGCGGGGCAGCCTTGCAGTGCCGCCGGGGTCGTGGAGCGTTACCGGGCTTGGGCGGTCCGGTCGATCGATGATCACTTTGACATGTTTTGCAACACAAATATTTTTATTCCGTTCTTCTTGTTCCATTGTGTTTCATCATTATTATTGTTGCTAAATACGTTAAGTACTTCTCGTTTAGCAAGCGGCGCCATGATTTAAGTGCGTAGCACTTTTGCGCCAATTGCATACTTTATTTGTTATATTCATCTGTTTGTTATTGAATAAATGGTCTCTCTCTCTCTCTCTCTCTCTCCCCTTATTTAGGGTTTGAAAAAGCTGAGGATGAAGATGGTGAAGAGCCGGTGAAGAGCCAAAAGTTAGAATAAAGATATGGAGTCCAGCAGGAGTGAGGAAACCTTGAGGAAAACTAAAAATTGGGTGAAACGCTGAATCAAACGCGTCTTGGATGCCAGCTGGAACAATATCAAATGTTTCATTGTGGCACATTAAGATGCTTCACGCATTTTAATTGTTCGTTTTTTGCGTGCATTATGTAGAAATAATTATTATTCCGACCATGTTCTGCAGCAATAAATACATTGGCATTGGACCGATAACCTTGTTTAGTTGAATAACGTTGACAGCAAAAGTAAGTAAACACGCAGTTACTTACTTTTGCTGTTGCTGTTAGTGAACACAAAATCCGTAAATATCTTCTTTGAAATTGGTTCTTCCGCTCAGAATATTCAGTAAAACTTTGTCTGGGAAAATCAAAAAGCCCTAGGGCCGAATCGTTTCCCAAATACCTTCAACATTAGCCGAGGCGGGCCGAAGCCATTTCCCAAATGCACGTGCTAATGTTGAAGGGATATCTCGGCATGTGGTAAAATGTCGATAATGTATTTAATATTGGTCCAATAGAATCAAATTCCCTTACCAGCCTTCTTTCCATTTTGTGGAAACAAGTTAGGTACGTACTAGCTAGTCAAATCAAAACTGTTCTTCAAAGAGGAAAAGTACGACAAGAAAAGTTCTGCTTAGTTTCGGCATCTCTTAACCAAATTATTAACATGTTATCTTTTCAATCCCTTCCACTCTTTTCTTTCAATTTCTTGTACTTCATTGCATTATCTTGAAACCATGTTTTGTACGTTACTTCTATTCTCAATATAGAAGTGAATCGTTCATAGAAGATAATACTTGTAATCTAGAAATAAGGACCATGCAGTTGCAGCTCCAACTACAACTGCAGTTATTTAACCCTATTCCTGGCGGGGGGGGGGCCTCTGGAGCCCCCCTGAGGTTTTTTGGTTATTTCTCCCAAACGCGTTGAGCTAGGAAGCTCAAATTTTCTGACTTTTCCTAAAAGGCTTCTACGCAACATGTCTGAAAATTTTGAGTTGATTTGACTTCAGGTCAGGTCACCAGAGGCGGTTTGGTGACCCTACCTCAGAAAAGTTTGCAATCACGCCAGAGCTAGAGTTTTTGACCGATCAATTTCTTCTCTTCAGGCTTTAGTTAGGGTACCAGTATGTGCAATTTGTATATCTCGGAATTTTGATATCGGTGACCTAAGGTCAGGTCAGTTTCGCGACCTCCCCATTATAAGTCAATGGGGGAAAAATCAACTCCCTGTTTTTACCACTAAAACGGGTCGGAATGGCACCATATACCATACATGACTTCACATACGATCAACCTTCACTACCTTGAGGTCTGTTTTGCTGTTGGGCAGCTGTGAGGTCATGTGACGTCATCAAAGGTCACCAAAGGTTTTTTGCCAATAACTTCGTACAGAAACAAGATACAGACGCGTGGATGGTCTCATTGTGTTCAGCTTGTCAAGACGCATCGAATGACCTCGAGGTCACGTGACCTGAGGTCAACCTTTGACCTTGACCTTTCGAGGTCAACATATATATCATTCGATGCGGATTGACGAGAGGATCACGATGATGCCCTTAGTTTGTTCCTATCTTGACTAATTCGAAAGGTATTCGAGAAAAACTCTCTCCATATCTAGCGGCGCCATTTTGACTTTTTCGACCCCTGTGACGTCATCTTTGACCTGACCTGCAAATGACCTTAGTAAAAATTGTAGATCTTGACCGTGCGTATCCGATGCCGTTTACCGTTTGTCGCTGCGATGTGTAGTTTTTGAGATCTGAAGGGGGGGGGGGGCGAATCGGCCCCCCCCCCCCGCCAGTTTCTTGTCCCGGCGGAGCCCGCCAGGAATAGGGTTAATTTTTTTATTTACGTAGTTTTCCCCATATGCTATTTACGTAGTTGGATAGTGTGATGAAGAGCTGTTCTAGCTGGCTTGGCACCAATACGGCAGCGTCATCGGTATATGATGGGCACCACATGTGATATTCCAAGGGTGGCCCCATACAGCAACATTTTTAATTTGACCTGACCTGGAAGGTCAATGACTGACACAATGAGGTACAATTGGGTACCATTGGATTCGTCTCTTCCCTAGAAATCTGTTGGCTTTTACCGTGAAGCTCCATCTCCAGCAGAAAGGAAATGGCGGTGCAGGGGGAGGGGTAGGCAACCCCCACCCTCATATGCGTTCTAGGATGGGAAAATGGCATGTGCGGGCGAGGGTCAAAGAAACAGGAAGGATATTTTCTCAAGTATAAGCACATCAATCACCACCACAGGTCGGTACTTGGCCGCACACCTGACCGGCGCTCTGATTGACGGCTTCAGGTGACCCATCACACAGAAACACCGGGACTAACCGCCACTGGTGACACCTGCGACATCACAAATCACCACTGGTGACACCGCGACAGCACAAATCACCACTGCGGTCACGGCCGACCGCAGGCGCGGCTTCTCACGTGTCCCCGCCCCGCCGTCAGAGGACCGCCCGGCGGTGGGACCGGAATGCGTCTCACGCGTCTCCGAGTTACAGGGTCCCTCCTCACACCAAGTGTGCTGGCTGATCTGCTTCTAAAACTACCAGCTCTACAATCTACAACCACTCGTTACCCTGCGATCACCCCCGCCCCGCCGACGCGTCACATTCACGCGGTCTCCTCGGCCAAGCGCCTTTCCTGTTTACCGGCTGCGATCACCGCGCTGCCAGCCGCTGTGTAATTGCTAACGACCGGGCTCGGGTGTGAGCCAATGACGTCACTGGCCTGTGATTACCGTGGCGCCGCGGCTGCTCGGAGACCGGCCCACGCACCGGTGCGTCCCCCTTCCCCGCGGGTCGGTTCGCCCGGGCCCTGGTTCGGCCCGCCCGGTGGAAATGGTTCAGTTCCGGCTTCACTCACACGTCTGGGTCGGTGAGTCTTCAAAGGTACCGTCACAGGCGCTTTGTAAAAGCACCATCAGATGACCACCCCACTCTTTGCCATGACGACTCTGTCCAGCCTCCTCCTGTCCGGTCTCATGTGTGTATATTCATTATTCATGTCTTATGTGCTCGTCTGTTCTCTGTCTCTCTGTTCTCTGTCCCTCTGTCTTATCTCCCTCAGTCCTCTGCTGGTCGCTCCAGTCGGCACAGCGTCTCGTCCCGGGTGTGAAAAGGTCGCTGAGTTCCGGCGCCGACCTTCACGTCTGTCTGCGGTATAGGCCGGAGACAGAGACAGCGGCCGACTAATGGCAGAGTGCTGGCGGCCCGGCTCCGCCCTGCGCCTGCTTACTCATGGGGAATATCGGCCCCGCATCGACACCGGCCGAACGTGAGAGAATCGATAATGACAGACGTGGGTGAGATGGTGTGAGACGGTGAGAAGCCCTGGTGTGTCAGAGGCCGCGAGCGACCGTGGGTGTACATATGCAGAGGCGTCACATGTGGTGCCTTATCGCCGCCGCTGGTTCTTTGTCGCTGGTTGAGACTTATCAGAGTCAATCATGGAAGTTACGTTTGAAAGAGTTATGTGATTTCTCTTTAAAACTATTAGCAGAAATAACGTCAGTTATAACAAATGAAGCCTTCCCAACACACTCGATTCACATGGAAAATGTATATTCATGTCGATATATCTATGTACACGTTGGAGCATGCATTTGTCAGCAGCATCGCCCGGCTGCTGGCCTATAGCCGATGCTTCCAACACACTCACTATGAGTCGGGGTCGCCACAAATAAATACACAAACACACTCATGGTGAGAGCTAAAGCTATTTGGCCGATGTCTAGTTTGGCTGTGCCGGGTGACGATGCCCTTTGGCACACACTAGGAAGAGCCGGGTACACATATACATGAGACATTTTATTAAATAATACCTACCTATATCACAGTATAACAGCGGAGATTCGGTGCAGTGGAAAATACGTTCCGACATTCTGCATGCCGCCGTAGGTGTAACAGTAAAAAGGGACAGGTCATATATAACATTTGTAGTCAGTCAAAATAGAAAATATGGCAGAGTATCTCCGAGGTTGAGCGAAGAGAGCAGACACGACACAATGCTATGAGGACATTACAATGTGTGCATGGGGATGAGACACAGCGAAGTAGCACGATCAAAACGTGAATGTGCTGACGTTCATGCAGTCAGAGAGAGCGATCTGATAACAGCTACAGCCTCGCATAGCTGTTTCAGAAAGCTGCTGCTGTGTAGCTGAGGAAAAACACCCCCAGGCAAGTCCGAGGAACACTCAAAATGTGTCCAGTGGTCACTCAATAACACATCTCGCAGCTTGTTCCCAGAAGCTGCCCTTTGACTAGAATCTCCCGTCTCTCGTCACCGTACGGCGCAGCCAGTCGGCTCCTGCCCAGGACTGAAACAACCAGCAGTGAGCCGAGGTCGCCGGCTGTGACCTGGGGCGACCCACGATCACACAACAAGGAGACATCCGGAGCATCCCGGGAGCAAGCCCAACGCTTCTGGCGACAATATTTGGCAAATGCATCTCCGACAGCCCGACTCAGAGCTCTCTTCCCACCCGACCCCTCCCTCATCACACACAAAACAGCCTACTGCGCAGACACGCAAACACACAGACACACAGACGCACACACCTACAAGCACCGGTGCTCCACCTTCCGGGTCCTGCACACCTTACATTTGACATCACAACACCACTTGAACGTGCACTCGCAGTGTTCCAGCACCTCCTTCACCTGGGTGTGGTAGCCGCGGCCGCAGCACATGAGCTCGCAGCCGTCCACGCCGCTCGACGTGTCGTTGCAGAGCCGGCCGACCGTGCCGCCGAAGCCCAGCCGCTGGTTCTTGGTGCAAAAGTCGGGCGAGTCCTCGTAGTAGACGAGGTCGTTGCGCGTTGGCGGCTTGTGGTGCGGTTTCAGCGGTTGCAGCTGGAAGTTGTAGCGGCGCCGCCGGCGGCGCGAGCGCCGGCTGTTCTGGATCGTGTTGGGCACGCGCACGTGCGTGGCGCCGTCAAACTCGGCCTTCAGGTTGTCGCCGACTTCCCGCAGAGTGGGCAGGCGCATCCAGCAGGTCTTCACTGTGCAGCTGCCGCTCATGCCGTGACACTTGCACTGGCGCTGCATCTGTCCGGAGACGGCCTGCAAAGGAGAGAGAAAGGTGGTCAGATGGTTCTCCGATAGATGTGACATGCGCCGGGATGACGATGACTCTGGCAAATGATGCTCCGAACATATGAGCATCGATTGTATTGGACTTTCTTTTCGTGTACCCTGCTTTTGTGGGGATGCTTTGTCCTTTTCTCAATAAGATCATCCTGAAAAGCATCCTGCTAACAGGGGATGACCTAATCCACTACCGGCGCTTCCTTCTTCCTAACGCGATTCGACACTGCTCTTATCGAACGGAAGGGGATCAGTGGGATGTCGTCGCGCGTTACTGGCCCACCCATGAGCGTCGCCATCGAGCTCTGATCGGGCGGAAAACGTCCTGGAGCAGGCTAACGACCTCCCGTCGCGCAGCGAACTCTTTGGCGGGCCGGCTCGCGCTGTCACACGCTCCGCTGCTCCCCAGAGGACCTCCGGCGACCCCCCGGCTGGGCGGGTGGCCCGGCGCCGCCCGCCGATCACGAGCCGCCGACCGGCTGTCAGCCACTGCCGACGTTTTTCACCGCCTCTCGCCACCAAACGGGCGGGCCGGACGGACAGGGCGGGCGGGGCGGCCGCGCCGCACCGCTCCGTGATCGCACAGCTCGCCGGAAAAAGCTGCCAGTGACGCGCCAGCCAGAGTCGCGCTCAGACCCTACGTGACCTGGAAGCGGTGCGCCATTTTTGCCGGCGCCGCGCGTGATATGCGCCGGGAATGTCGCGTGTGCGGTGAGCCGCGGGCGTGGCCCGACCGCCGGTAAGCCTCTCGGCACGCCAGTGCACGTGCAGGCCGGCCCGGCTCCGGTGCAGCTCGCCACCGGCCGCCGCCCCGCTCGGCTCGCATTCCGAAACTCCATCGGTATCATTAGTGGGCCGAGCAGCGGGCGCGCCAGCACCGCGGCAGCAATTTATGACTGATTCACTTCGTATGCAAAATACCGGGCCGCGGTGCCAGCCAGGTAATTGAACTAGCCACCTTTGTGCGGTGAATCATCTGCGTGTGAGCCGCTCTGCAGGCCCGGCCGTTCGGCAGGGCCGGTGGCTCGGGGCCCGCGGTGAGCTGGCGCAGCTTTCGGCGGCTGAGGGCTCTCGGCGGCCGTGTGAGTGTGACCGGGCCGGGGTCCGGCCGGCGAGCGGCGGCCCGATGCGGCGAGTGATTGTCCGACAAATCAGCGCGGTTTGTCTCGGTTTATCAGCGCGATGCGGCACGACCTCAGAGGCGCCGCATGACTGGCCAGTCTGCTCGCCGGCCCGCTGAGTGCTCGGCGCCGACGGCTGCACCATTTTCTTCACAACGAGTTGCAATCATATCTGAACAGCAATCGGTGTGAGAAAGAATCCGGACGAATATTTTTCAAACGCATTTAAATGCATTCTCATAGCGGCCTGGCGACGTAATGATATGTTGGCCGGGCCGGGGCCATCTAGCTGATCACTGGTCTGGCCAGCGCAGGTGACGCGGCAGAACTGGCGCCTTTTGTTCGGCTAATGGCGACTAAACGGGTATTTGGCCGGGGTTTTGTGTCATTAATCCACTGTGTGGCCGGCCGTCGGATTGATTCCACTCTGTAATGCATTGTTTACCACTGTGTAATGCAGAGATTTCGCGGCCGTCGGAGCGGGAAGGCGGAGCTGTAATTGGACCGCGCTCCGGGGCGCCGCACCGGCGCCCGGGGCGCCTCTCGAGCGCCGCGGGCGTTCTCTGAAGCGGTCGGCGGCCGGCCGACGTCATTAGCCTTTTGTCTGCGCTGATTCGCCAGATGTTACGCAAATATTGACTCATTGTGTGTTGGTGGGCATTAATTACTCCTCATCTCTCGGCCGGTGCCTGTAAAACCATACAGTCACGATAATGTCATAATTTAGCGCTCGGCGAGCCGGGCTGGGCGGCCCACCGCGGCGGCGGCCAGTCCGACGGCCGACCTCCAGACAGCGCCGACCGGCCGCAATTGAATTAATGCCCGGCCGGCAGTAATCACGGGTCGTAGAGCGTCGCCTCTGAACGCTCCAAATTACACGCTATGAACTGAGCGACCAACCCGACCGCCGTCGAATGCATAATCGGCCGGCTTGCGTGCACGGGAGGTGTTAACCATGCCTTGCTGGTGGCCGGCGAGGGCCATTAATAAAAACACGCGCGATGCCACACACGCTCTGCGAACGCCGCCGCCACCTTGGAGCTAATGTCTTAATGCGGCGGCGGCCGGCCGGGCGCCGGTGGAAATTTAATAAACTGGGGCGGCGCCTGCTGGAACGGGCCCCGGGCGGCGGCGCCCGGCAGCGGCGGCCACCTACCACAGCGCCGGCCGTCGCCCCGGGCCACACCAGCGCCCGTTTTTGCAGCGTCCTCGTCAAATGAGCGTCCGTCCGACCGCCTTAACGTCTCTTTAGGGCGCTATTTTTACCGATTTGCACGCTTCTCCCGGCTCGGCGGCGGACACAGATAGAGATGAAGGCCGCACAAAGAGGGCCGAATTCCTCAAATGAAAAATACACGCGGTGAATGTGAGAAATCACGGGCCGGGCTGAACGTCCTCGGCCGAGGATCGTATATTTTTACAATGTGTTAATTCCCGGTGAAACCTGCCAACATTGTGCCAGCTCCGAACGACGGTGAGCTCTTATTCAGCCCCAAATCGTTTAATGACCGGGCTTTCGGTGAGTAAGCCCATTCCGCTGAACGAAGTTCTGAATCACGGGCACCGCTTCAAAATCTCCAGTGACGTCATCACGTATGTGTGACGTCATCAGATGTCGCAACGGCCGTTTTTTCTTGACCCCTGGGGCGACGGAAGTGGCTTCCGTCGCCGGCGGCCACCGGTGACTCGAGCGGCGCATAGAAACGTATCACCAGCGGTGACCGCGACGCCGCGGAGACTGCACGCGGCGAACAGAACAGTAACACCAAGAGGGCGAGGATGAGAGAGAGAGAGAGAGAGAGAGAGAGAGAGAGAGAGAGAGAGAGAGAGAGAGAGAGAGAGAGAGAGAGACAGAGAGAGAGAGACACAGAGAGAGAGAGAGAGAGAGAGAGAGAGGGAAGGAGCTAGGGAAGGAGAGAGGGGGAGAGAGAGAGAGAGAGAGAGGGGGGAAGGAGGTAGGGAGGGAGAGAGGGAGAGAGGGAAAGAGAGAGTCACGATAGAAAGCGAGAGCAGTGCTTAGCGGTCAGCACGCACAGTGCTCCATTTTTGCATAATGAGCATGCAGCCATAGATCACCCCGAAGTGCCATTAACCTCCTCACCCATGTAACAATAACAAATGACCGGTGAAGAATAGCAGCTCATGCAGCGCGCAGCAGCGAGCCGCGCTCTCCTGCAAGGCTCATTTGCCAGTGCCGTTGCATGTCAAACTCACCCCAAGCGACGGCGGTGCTCTGGACTGACCGAGCAAATACAGAGCGCATTTATACAAAACTTGAGCGACCGAGAGTCCACACAGGGTCCAAACGGCCGTCTGATTGCTCGGCCAGTCCAGAGCAAACAGAGCCGTCCGGCCGGCTCGCTCGCCCTCTCCCCACCTGCCCGACTGGTCCTGCGGAGCAGAGGACCGGACTACATCGCCGCGGACACAGGCTGTCGGCAGGCGGCTCCCACCAAAACATGGCACTTAGCAGCTAGCTCCGATACGGCCCCAGATGGGCCGATAGTGTCAGCGACGGCCGGCCGCGGCGCGCCGTGTTTGTATGCGTGTGTGTGTGTGTGTGTGTCGGAGTGGCGGCGAGGCTGGCGAGGTGAAACACCGATGGATAGGAAAGCTGCCGAGCTTTGCCCGAATGTTTTGCTTTTAGAATAGTGACTATTTTAACCCGCGCGGGGCTGGGGGGGGGGTAAATTTTACCCCCCTCGCGAATTTTTGCGATATCTCAAAAACGGCGGCGCGTAGCGCCGCCAAACTTTCAGTACCTTTTCTTACATCAATTTGACACGTTCCCTGAAAATTTGAGCGGAATCCGTCGGAAAATTTTTGAGAAATTGACGTTTTAGTGACGTCATGTTCGCCATTTTCGCCTCAAAAACGGCAAAAGTTCAAACGCCGCTAACATCTTCATTTTTAAAGGAATCAAGACGTAACAAAAAAGGTTATACGTAATTTTACTTTGTCTATCAAATGGCTATCTCGGTTTTTTGAAAATTTTGGATTTTGGCCTAATTTTTTTCAAAAAACTGATTTTTTTGGGAAAATCATTATAAAAACCAAAATTTTGAGTCTATCGAAAAAACCGGAATATATGTCACAGAAGTGGTCTATGTGCACCTACATACCAAATTTTAGAAGAATCGGTTCAAAAATGTGGGAGTTATTCAAAATTTTATGACGTCACGACACACAAAATTTTTGAAAAATGACTTTTTTGGAAGTTCTAGACCTCGTACGGAAACAAAAATAGCACCATTCGATTCGCCGTGAAAAACTGCATCAGATAGACACCTTTTTAGGCCTTAACAACCAACTTCAAAATTTGACCTCACTTGACCTGACCTTGACCTGACCTCGACCTGAAATTCATCCAGAGGTGGTCCATATCACTTATTGAGTGTGCCTATTGAATTCTATGAGTAAAATGACCCATAAAACATGTGTCGCACATGCCCTTTTCTATATTTTGTTTTTTGGTGACCTGACCTGACCTGACCTGACCTTGACCTTGACCTCTGAATGATATTGTATGCCACAAATATTGTCTTGGTAGCCTAAGAACACGTTTTGGGCGATCAGTCTCAGTCCATGACTCCATTCTTCGGCAACTACGGTGCAAGGCCGATACTGTAGAAACTTGCAATTTGTACCCTTGACCTGACCTTGACCTTGACCTCAAACTTTAAATTAAGTACATGTTTTTAGTAGTTCGTGATGAGAGCTTTCGATTGGCGTTTGAATTTTCCAAATCGGACCATTAGTTCGGGAGATAACAGGGGGGGTAAAATTTACCCCCCCCCCCCCAGCCCCGCGCGTTCGGCTGGAGACCCCAGCCCCGCGCGGGTTAACTAAAGCAATTACAAAATCGATATTTGATAGAAAAACAAAACAAATGTGCAGTGTTACGTTCACGCTGTGATGTCGAGTTTTCGAATCAAGTGAGCTCACATCAGAGTTTGTAATCCCTTACAATCGAAAATGGATTATGGTAGACCAACGTTTTCGGTAGCCACGTCATCATCAACGACTAACATCACGGGCTGATCTCCCTAGCGCATCCATCCCGCAGTGCCGTGCGTTTCTCCGTGTCCGGAGCGGCGGCCCGTCGGCAGCGGCAGCCACACCACTAGATGGATCGCGACGCGACATGGCCCAACCAGCCATTGTTCATTCACAATGACGGAGCGCCACTGCACCCGCCGGCAGTGCGGCGCAATGTGAGCATTTTGCGCCGCAAACGTCTCCGACAGGACCGGCGCAGTGACGGCCGATGGCGCAGAGCCGCCGGGCGACTGTCTGCCGGCGTAAAAACCGCCGCCAAGATGGATATGGGTGAAACCGGCGCTGGACAGGGCCGCGGGTTGTTGAATTTTCCATTCATCAGTGTCGCTCGAAGCCGGCCGGCGCGCGCGCTCCCACATCACCCGGCCATACCGGCCCATCGCCGAGCCGAATTCTTCAAATGCGTCTCTCCCAAAAACCGATACGCGCCAGGACAGGCGGAAAAAGCGCTCCGGCCCGGCCCGGCCCGGCCGCGGGTCAAGGTCGCGCCGGGAGGACGGTCAGGTGAGGCGGGACCGGCTGACATCATTACGAGAAGCATTTATCACGGAGAGCCAGATCAAGCGTCGTGTGGAGTCCGAAAATGGCGATCGGCCGAGATCAGGTGTCAGAGCTGGCTGCTCGCTCCCCAGACATCGGAGAATCATGGATTACTGTGATACCGAGAGGTGTCACAATGTCGCCGATCAGAGCTAAATGAGTCCTAAGATTAATTACTGAAAAATCTTTCAGATCAGATGTAAGGAAATTAGAGGCCCTCTATTATCAAAACTAATGACACATCCAAATTATTATGAAATTGTTGCAATGATATCAAATTTCAGGATATCGAAAGCTAAAAAATGACTGCGGCATTCAGCGAAAGGTTTCACAGAGCAAAGTCGTCTCTCCAGCAGTTTCAGGACCGTTTTACTCACCCTGCGGCCGGCCTCGTTGTTGTGGATGTTCATCATATAGCGCATGTCCCTGCCGCGCTCGCTGGCGTCGACGAAGCGCCTGGAGAAGCGGTAGCCGAACTGGATGTTGTCCGAGCAGCCTCCCCACTGCCAGTCGGGGCCGCTCGGCTGCCGGCCGCTGTAGCCGCACGAGCAGGAACGCACGCTGCCCTCAGCACACGCCCGCGACACGTGATGGGTCACCGAGGCAGACGTCATAGCGTACAGAAACGCCGTCTCCCGGCACGCTGAAACCAGACAGAAATAAGAGTTAGGAGCTGTTGAGTGGGGATATTTATTAGAGACAAAACAGGTGTAGCTAAAAAGACGGAACAGGCGGAGCAGGTGAATTCAACAAAGAGCTTCTTATCATGTTTGATGGACTTTATGCTGCACCTCTAGAAGCTGTAACCAGCGTGAGTTATCGCTAATCCAGTATCAGCAGTAACACGTCGGTTCATTCGTATCAGAGTGTTCATCCAAATTGCCACGAACAGATTAATCACGGGTCGGTGGCGAGCCACCTTTGGGGCACACCTGCCACGCCTGATCAGCGGCGGGTCATTGGCGGGTCAGCGGGGGTCACAGGTCACCGGTGGGTCACAGTCGTCACGGCGAGTCACATTCCCGTTGCGTGACGCCGCGGCGGGCCGACCGTGACGGAGGGAGGGGGGAGGGACACACGACTGCTCAGGATCGGAGCGAGCGGAGACGAGCCCCTCCTGAAGGCCGCTGGTCTTCTGGTGCTGACAACAGGGAATAGGATTAACTACGGTCCCAACATGGTCCTCAGTGTCCTAATTTGCATCTCTAAGGAGGGCGGGGATGGAGACGCAAGAGGATAAACAGCGGTGAAATGAAAGCAGGATGAAAAACTTACGGGATCAACAAGGAAAAAGCGAATTATGCAACTGAGTGAAAAAGAGATTGACGCTGTGTCAACAGGAAACTCAAGTTGATGCGCTTATTCAGAGCTGCTAGCATCAGCGCTTCTTTTTGCGTGCTTGGAGTATTAAAAAAAAATGCAGTCTTATTTGGCGAAGATTAGAAAAAACCTAGAATTGCAAGGTGTTTATGAACAAACCGACATATCATTTGTCTTCCCAATATTTTTTTTTTCACAAAAGCTTTGTTTCGACGTTGACTGACCGTGCACGAAAGGCAAACACATAGATGGACCAAATATACAGCTCCAATCGTGAATAAAAATGTCCCAAAATAAGTAAATTGCGCAACAAACTCAATCATGAGCTAAGCTGACAGCTTCAGTTCAGGCCATATCGATTCACGCTTCACAAAAGTTGGATGTTCGTCTCTTTGAGAGGATCCATCACCAATAGATCCCTTCAGGAAGGCAGCGTCCGCCTGTCCGGTCTCATTTTCATCCACGGCCAGTCACCGAGCGAGCTTTACAGTTTGATACGTTCCTAAACTCTTCGATCTTATCTAATTAGATGAGAGGAATGACGCTAACATGAGGAATGTGTGGCGCCGGCCGCGTCTGTCGGATCACATTAGCGCCGCCGATCGACTGCCGAGCGTGTGGCTCGGCCGCTCCGAGCTCCGAGCACCGGCTGCCGGAGGCAGGTCTGCCGACCGGCCGACTGGCCCCACTTCAAAACAACCCGGACGAGCCACAATGGCACACCGGAAACCCGACCAGGGTCGGGTATGTTTCCAAATGCTGCTGATTATCTATTGTTCCGCGTCCATTTTCCGTCGTAAATTAGCTGGAATGCGTGTCGGAGATGAAATAATTGGGGGGTGTGCTAGGAGGCGGCGCGGCGGCGGCTCGGCGGCGACTCGGCGGCGGCGGGCCGGGCTCCATCTGCCGCACGTGCCCCCCTCGCGGCTCGGCCGGGTCACCTGCGGACCCCGCGGCAGGCCGACGGATTACACACATCATCTGGCCTCACCGGTACCAGGTGCGCGGTGACCACCGGACCTCCATCTGCTCACCTCACTCCAGAACCCGCCATCGGCGCCGCCGTAATAGTCGCAGCGACCAGCGCGCGTGTTAGAACGACCCAAATGAGTGTGTGAAAAGTGCCCGGCTATGGAAACCGGCGACGTTTTAGTGCCCTCTAACAGCGCTCGGACATTCCGCGCACAGACACAAGGAGCGAGATTCCTGATCAGGATGCGTCGGCCGTGTGCGTTTCCATCAATGGGGATAGATTACACGAATTCCTATCAAAACAAACAGGTTTCGGAGAGACACGGGAAATGACGTATCACCTGCGATCTGGGATCGGGACCGATGTGCTGGTTCACACCGCCGGCGAGAGGGACTGTTTTCTGTTATCTGCCGACCGACGGTCATTTGTAATGGCCGAGATCTATCGAGGAGAGGGAGAGAGAGAGAGAGAGAGAGAGAGAGAGAGAGAGAGAGAGAGAGAGAGAGAGAGTGAGTGAGAGGGAGACAAATATACAAACGAGACACGCAAAGACAGAGACAGCATTCAGAAACAGAGTCAGAGAGATAAAGGGGAGAGAGAGAGAGAGAGAGAGAGAGAGAGAGAGAGAGAGAGAGAGAGAGAGAGAGAGATACTTCCGGGACTTTGTGTCTGATCTTCATCTGTAGGCAGTCGTTCATTTATTTGGATTACCAGCGGACTGTCGGCGCGAATCGAAACAGACGCACGTGATCCGACCGCGGCGTGCCCCACTGGATTAGTCGTGTCGGATACTGCCGGGCGAGCTCACGTTACCGATATTATCTATGGACGGAGGAAGGGTGCTGCGGAGAGTTGTCCGCCGCCCTGTCGTCGCGGCGTTGTGAGAGCTCGCGCTCACATCTCTCCGCGGGCGGCGACATACCTCTGTGGTCTCGGCAGATGAATGAGACCTATTGAGGACACCATCGGGCTCGACAGGAGGGCGGTATTCAATCTTCAGTGCTCTCGCGGCGGCGGCGTAACAACTATTTACCCTGGCCCTCGGCGGGTCGCACCATTGAGCCGCTCTCGCCGACACGGGCGGGCTCACATGAGCCGACCACACATCATAATTAGCCCGGCACAGCTTCAAAGGGTTGCTGGCACCACCCAGGTGGCAGCTAGCCGGCCCTGTTTTTGTGCGCGCCGCGCGCCGCGGCCGTTTTGGATTTACTCGCCGACCGTAATTGACTGGCCGATCCGGTCGGCGGTATAAATTAGCCCTCTCTTCCCTCTGCGGCTGTTCTCCCGGCGCTGCTCCCGCCCTCCCGGTGGTCGCTCTCTCCTGCGCCGTCGCTCTGCCCGCCGTCACCTGGCTCGCCGGCGTCCCGCGCCACAATGCCCTGTCGTCAATACGCGATTGGTTCCGCTGTGCGGCGAGGACCGGCGAGCTCGCGGCGCCACTACGTCTCCATCGCGCCCTGAATAGCGGCGCTGTTTGCGCGGCGGCGGCGGTGGCGGCGCGGCCGCGGCAGCTGCGGCGCGCCGAAGACGACCGCGGCGCGCCGTAGCGCCAAATTAGGCCTCGGAACGCGCCGGAACAGAAGGCAGCCAAAGCCGTCGCCTCCAATCGAGCCACGCTGCTCCGACCCTGTGGGACAGCCGAAACTGCCTCCGCACCGGGAGATGCGGCGCTCCTACTGAAAGATGCAACCACTGGCGCTGACATGCAGACTCCTCGCTACCTCTCGCTGGCCTCTTCGCCCTCTGCTTGCTCGCTTCTGGTCCTTCGAGGTTTCCGTTCAGTCTTGGGCGTTTCCTAACCACCCATTGTCCATGTTCACCGTCGACCCGTTCGGTCCTGGATGTTTCCTGGCGTGTCGTATGTCTGTTCGCCAGCGCCGCTCCCTCCCCGGCAGTCGCTGCCTGGCTGGCTGTCCTGAAGTCCGCATGATGGGCGCCGATCGCGTGTGCCAAATGGCAGGCTGAAATCATGCCCGCTCTCCGACCCGAGGCCGGAAAATGCACACATGCGAGGAAAACTGGATCGAGTTAATCGTCTGTTACCAGCACGTGCACCGGCCGTAACGGTGGCGGCGCCGTGGCGCGGCCACTTGCGCAATACGACTTCTGGATTCCTCGAGACAAGCTTCTGCGCGACCGCCGCCAGTCGGCTGGAAAGCGTGAAATCGGGTGCGACGCAGCGGGCGCAGTGAGCTCTGGCGCCCGGCGGACCTGGCGCCCAGGTCCGCCGGGAAGGGGCGAGGCGCGGCTCGTCGCGGTGGGGAGCGGTGCGCTCCGCGGACGGCACACCGGCCGGGTAGCGACTGGATGTCAGGTGGCATTACACGGCTCGCGCTCCGGCTGCGGTGCCGGGCGCTCCCGAGCTGTCGCACATCGCTGCAGCGGCGCGCCGGCGTGCCACATTGAACACCGACCGCCCTAAGTGGCGGTTGCAACATCACCAGGAACTTTAATCTTATTGAAACGCTTCAAATAAGCCCCACCTGGACTTCGGTGTATGCGTATCGACAGCTCATACAGCTCAACAACGTTTTACCGATACCAATTTAATTGCAAAGGCGTGTTTATAACATAAGCTGCCTTTTTACCCACATTATTACAAGCTACATCTCCAAGGTGTTCAGCTGCTTCCATCTGTTTCACACTAGAACTTATTTGTTCTATGCATCGCATTCGCATCGGATTCCAATTTACACGGCATTTTAATCATTCCTCTATTCTCCTTTCAATACACAGTAATCGCCTATGTGTCCCATATCTACCTAAACTGTTAATTCCGCCGCAGAACGTCCTTACCATACCGTCCATACAGCTCACACGGCCCACACCGCTTCATCCGCCCCATACAGCCCCCCCCCCTCTCCATACCGTCCTCACCTTCAGTGTGCAATGCCCGGCCCGCGCCCTCAGACCAGCCCCACAATACACTAATCTGGCACCGCCGACAGCGCCCGAGTAGCTCTGCACATTACGTCAGTTTATAACCCGTCTCAGTCGTGATTCTATCGCCGGCTGGGCGCTCTCGTAACCCGACTAATTGTGCGCCGCCATTAGCCGCAGTGCGCCATTTATCGCCGACACCCTGTGCCATTTATCGCCGCGGCAATTTGTATGAGTTCATCTCTTCATTCGTGCGTCACGCTCTGGGCCGGGTCGCGACCGTGCCAGTCTCGTCTCGACCGCGCCGGATCCGTCCGGGGCGCAGGTCATCCATCACAGCCTCTCGGCGGAGACAATGAGTAATAGGGCGTGTTGCAATGCGGCATGACCGGCGCGGCAGCCGCGAAACGAGACGAGAGTGGCGCGCAGCTCCGAACGACGGACAGCGAGGCTGCGTCGATGGAGAG